ATCATTTATTTTTTGCCAGGAACAATAAAAAAATAGCTTGTACGGCAGGATGTTTGGCATTTAGAACAGCATCCTATTTTGTCCTATTAGTTGTCTAATATTTTTAAAAAATTCTTTCTTTTTTTTTTTCTTTGAGATAGGGACTCACCATGTAGCCCCGAGAAGACTAGAATCCACTATGTAGACCAGGCTGGCCCCAAACTCAAGAAAGACCTGACTGCTTCTGTCTCCCAAGGGCAGGGATTAAATAAAGAAACTTAAGTGCTGCTCAAAGTTCAAAGCACACACTGAAGTAACAAAAAGGCCAACCTAGAGGAAGGGGCTTTAGCTCACAGTGGGGGGCTTTAGCTCACCGCTTACTGTACTCTCGAGGGGTCAACTTTTATCCCTAAGCACTTTAAGGAAGGAGAGGAAAACACCCTGTTATCATACGGCATACCATATAAAGAATTATTATGGAGTTAATATGGAAAGAAGCAAAGGAAGCCAAACCCTGACATGAATCTATGACACGTCCCCCTTTCTCTGCTGCTGGCCCTGAAACTCTCAAAGTCTGAGCAGTCTACAGCAGGCTCTAAGAGGCCTAACCAAATGGGAGTTGGGGTGGAGTGTGGGGATCTGTTTGCAGGACCACAGCCAAAGGCAACTGCCATCCTAGACTGGCCTTCTTGGGCCCTTCCCGCCCCCATCGCTGGCCTGACTGGGTTCTGCCTGGGGACAGGATGCAGAGGCAGCAGCCACCTAGTCTAGCCGGCAGAGCAACCCAAATTTGCTCCAGAGATTTTTAAATGCTGTCACCCTGCATTTAACCCCTGCCTGACTACCTCATTCTTTCCAGGACAAAAGAGATTTATCAGGGAGTCGTTCTTCAGGGGCGGGGCCCATGACCTCAGGCCCTACAGAAGAGGCCAGCCAACAGCCCCATGCTGCCCAGGACTGGTCTACACCGGGGTGTGGGTGTGCATCAGGTGAGCCACCCTAGCCTAGAGCCATCAGACTGACTTGGTTTAAAGAGATGCAGACTGTATTCTTGGAGTTCCAGACAGTCATTTCTCACATGGACTGGGAGAGAGCAGGTGGTCACTGCTGGTCACTGTGCTGGCTGATTCCCACCAAGCCTGTCCTTTTTAACAGCTGTGAGCTCAGTGTATGACGGGACCCACCCTCATTTCCAAGTGTACTGGAAACCACAGCCAAACCCGAGGTTACCTGTTCCCAGGCATGAGGAAGAGACACTGGAAACATAGCCCGTACTTAAGGCCCAGACTCCCTAGTTTAGTATCACAATTTCATGCCAGACAATAAAAACTTCTTCACATTTAGCTGAATGGCTTTCTTAGATCAGAATGTTGCCATCTTCCCTGAGAGCTGCTTGCTTTGAGCCCAAGTCACTGTGGACTGAGCCAGGGCAGCATTTCAGATTATATATGTGTTTTGAAGACTCTCCTCAGACACTAAGGCAGATGCCTTAGGGAGCAAAGAGGAGACAGACTTGTCCTTGTAGTTGACTTGGTACTAACTCAAAACCTGGACACCAAAAGCTAAGACCTTAAGCAAAGGAACGAGCCCCTCACACTCACGGCCTCTCCACATAAACATGACTGCACAGACGGGATATGGGGTTTCTTCAATGCTTCTAAGACCCCTGCATGCTTCAGGTCCCCATTGTCCATCCCTCAACCCACCCCAGTCCGTGGGAATTCCTCCCTCCCCTCAACTCTCTAGATACAGGCTACAAAGATGCTGAGCAGTTCTTCCCAGTGGTGGAGGGCCTAGATAGGTAATCTTGCCTTCTCCTCCACTGAGCCCTAGAGAAGTTTCCCAGCTATGACAGTTCTTGCCAAGGTGGCTCTTGCTAACTGATTCAGGCCCAAGCAGCAGTAGCAAGGGCCTGACCTGGATTTGCATGTCTTCCAAAAGACATCAGTGCCCAGGCTACCAAACTGCAGTTCCAAATCAATCCAAATACTAGTCCCCACACAGTATACAACTCCATGTAAGAGCCACCTCACCAGAGCAGGACCCCAGATTCTCTCAGACCCTGCCTGTAGCCATGGCATCTCTTGGCTCAAGTGTCAACACATGAACTTGTCTGTCTGTCTTGTCTGTCTGCCTGCCGAGTGTGAGCACACACACTCACAAGCCTGCACGGAGCAACCCATCTGTCTCAGAGTTGGCTGTCAGAAATGAAAGTACAATCTCCTGGAACCAAATTATTGCCTTCTAAAAATGTCCCATTTTCCCAGACTGAGGAAACTCGGCAAGGGTGGGGTGTGTTTCACTGCAGGTCCCCAAGGACCTGGCCTGTCATCTTCCCCCTACCCTCCCCGCACACTGCAAGGCTGGAATTCCAACCTGAAGCCAGGGTGCTGCTCCCAGGACTCGTCCCCGCCCACTCCCCTTCCTCTAGCTGGCCCTCGGCAAGGGCGCAGGAAAGGGAAGGGCCAGCCTTGGAGTCACCCCTGCATTTCAGGAGGGGCTAGACCTTTGAGCGCACCCCACCCCCTCTCCGAGGCACCACATTTTCACATTCGGCTGCTTTCTCGTTCCCTTCTTCCTTTGCCAAGAGAATCAAGCCCTGGCTCACACTGCCGACCTTCCTCCCACCCTAAACTGAGCCCCATTCATTAAGCCCGCTCTGAGCCAGGGCAGGACAGGAAGGAAAGCAGCACACAGGGCCTGTGAAAGAGACTCCCAGAGGTTACTTCAGGGGGTGTCACTACCCCCCACCTTGATTGATGCCCATCCTGCTCCAGCCCTGCCTCACCCCAGTGTCCACTACAGGAGCCCCTTCTAACCACCCCGGCCTACACACACACACACACACACACACACACACACACACACAGAGAGCACTGCCTCTGTAAAAAAGGAGGCTTGGCCTTCCAGAATGTACAAAACCTTCTGCCCAAGCCCATGAAACCACCTTTTGAGGGCATTTACGGGACAAAGAGTATAGGTAGTTTCTCTCTGTGCTTGTTCACCTCAACTCTAGATACCCCCAAACCATTGGCATCAACCCAAAAAGTTCTTCCTACAACCGCACCCCAAGCGCATTATTACTACACAGCTCCAACTACACACAGAGAGAAGAAAGCGCTCCAACTTCGAAGCCTTGGGAATTAGTAAACCAAGAGCTGAAATTCAAAACAAATGCTCTTTCATGTGGCGACCTCCCCCGCCCAGCCCCCCTTTTTTTCCTTTCTGCTGTTTTGTTATATCATGACATCCCTTGCAAGACACACTACTGCACCCTAGCAGAACCTCATCCGTCTAAGGGGCTGCAGTTACCCAGGGGGTCTGGGGAGTGGGGCACTAGAATGTGGCTTCCCGGCTTCTTTCTAGAACTGGATGGACTCTGGGAACTTTGGGAAACAAGGTTGGCTGACCAGGTCATGCTGCTTGGCTCCTCGGGCGGGGGGAGGAACTCTCAGGCCGGTGGTTCTCAGCCTGGTGTCGTCATTTCCTCCAGTAGAGGAGACAGACAAGATGTTATCAATAAGACAAACCTTCCGAAAAGCTCCACTTCCCTTGCTTATTTTATGTGGTTTGGAGAAGCTGGGGCTCCTCCCTGCACACCCAGGGCTTAAAAAATATAACAAGCCAACAACGTCCTGAGTGTGTTATTCTGTTCAGACTCTTCCTCTCTTGTTTCTTCTTTCCCTCAAGAACTCTCACCTCATTTCAGCCTTAGAAAGCAAAGACACGGAGCCTTCCCAAAGCATGCTCGCCCCCTCTCCTCCGCTGCTAGGGCCCACTCCCTCCTCCCCCTGGGGTCCTGCTTTTCCTGCTCAGTTCTCATTAGAAGCTTTGAGTAAACAATACCCTCAGTCTCAGATAACAGTCAGAGTACACTGCACTGAAATCAAAACAAACAGGGTCCCCCTTCAGCCATTTCCCAGCAGGCCCCATTCCTGCAGGAGAGAGACTGGGATGTTAGTCCAGAAAGAACTGTATCTCTCCAACACATAGGGGAAACTCTTCAACAGTCAGTCACGAGGAGACACACTGCAACAGGTCTAAGGGTGGTCCCATAACTTCCACTAAGGGATGCTACACTGGGACCTCCACCAATGGCCGGAAGGCCAGCTATGCTGAGTGCCCAGAACTGTCCTGGAATTTCCCCACCCCAGGTTACTTTCTTTCTTGCTTTAACTAGTTCTTAGAAAATAATGATGACGTGGAAGGGTGAGAGGAAGGGAAGAAAACGTTCTTAGAAAAGAAAGAACAGTCTCCCAGAGCGAAGTCACCATATTACCCTCTCTTGCCCTCTGGAACAATAATCCACAGGCTTTCCCCAGGGTACCTCTTCAGCACAATCTCACCAGGGCCCAGAGAAAGCCTGTCCAGCTGAGGACGGCTATGGTACCCATTTATCTACAGAAAGCCCTGCCCTGTTGCTCCAGAACCCCACAGTTCGCTGAGATCCATCTTATGAGCTATGCCCTATAAACATGGGTCTGTCTCCTTCAAGGCATCCATGTAAGAGCAAATTAAAGAGTTTAAGCACGCGAGATCACCCCAACGTTGACACATGGAAGGAACTTAAGTCAGGGGTTGATTTAAAAACCATGAGGGAGGTCGAGGTGGATCCCTTAGGAAACAGGAGCTCACAGGATAAAAGTGCCCACCACACCAAGCTTTCCGTGTGCTCAGTCCCTGAAGCCCACAGGGCGGAAGGAGAGAAACAACTCCCACAGGTTATCCTCTGACCTCGTGTGAGGAATAACACACACACACAACTTAAAAATGAAAAATAGCCCTGAACTCGTCACACAACACAGCTCCTAGCTGACTCCAGACTTCCCATTCCTAGGAAGGGCAAGGTCCTGGCACAGAAAGGACGTCAGAATGGCAAGCTGAATGGCACTACAGTCACCGGATGTGTCCAGTTTAAAGAATATGTAAATGAGAACAATTCCAGACCAACTGGGGTGGCCTTTGGCCACCCCCATTCCTTTAGCCTCCAGCAATCTCTAGGAAAAGAGAAAACGTCTTACCTGAAAGCCCCCCAGGGGCCAGATAATTCGTTCCCCCAGTTTCGGCGGAGGAAGGTACAGCATCTGGACAATCTGCTGCAGTCAGAAAAGAGAAAAGTAAATTCACAAATAAAAACATCAGCACTCACTCTGACGAACACTCTGAGCAGCATGAAAGAAGAGAGCACACATTCCACGGGGCTGACTCGCAGCCCGATGCAGATTATTAATGGTCTCTTCGGCTTCATGGTCCAGCCTAAGACAGACCACAGCACCTTGTCACCCGTCTAGGCTCCAGGCGGCCAGTTACTCATTAGTCAGGCCAGGCTCAATCAGACTGCCTGGAATTTCCCTTCCATTATAAGTCTCCCATTGAGCTCAGGTAACTCCCAAGGTCAAGGAAGGTGTACTTTCTCAACCCCTTTAACTCTTTTCCTATCAAGCATGAAGCCTCCTTCCTCCCACTCCTAGAGACAAAGGTCTCATCCTAGCCTTCAGAAAAACTATGTTCCCTTTTAACTGAGATACAACAAGTACAGAAATCGCACAGGATCACTAATTTCCACCAGTTCCATCATGGATTCATGTGTGTAACCCATCAGGTCAAGACAGACTTCTCAACAATGGAGGGAAACTTTCTATCTACTTCCAGGCTGGGTCTAAACCCTTATCTGGAAACCCTACCCAGACACCTCCATTCTACAAGGCTGCCTACCTCAGTACCTACACAATCTTTCTAGCACGATATCCTTCCATTTTCTTTACTAGATCTTAACCGGCAGGTTCCATATCCTCTACCCCTCTCCCAACTCCCAGGTGCTTATAACAGTGACCTCAATGTTAACAAGGATAATGACAATTCCAGCTAGGAAATGAGACAGATTCTCCAAGCAACTGCAACAAAAAATAATGCCCAGGAACCACAACTAATCAGTCCCCTGGACCGCAAATGCACAGGCCCCCCTGTAAGTTTCTTCTGCACACTTCCAACATCAAATTTCTTCCTAAGTCCCCATAGACAGTTTGGTTCTGAAAAAGCAAATGCACCATTGGTTTGTACAGACTCCAGTCCTCCCACCCCAGCTACCAGGCATTAGCAGATGTCTCTTTGGCCACAATGGTAAATAGTTACTAACAGGAAAGAGTAGCCTAGAGGCAAGCAGGACAGCCTAGGACAAGAGGCAGCCTAGGATGGCCCTCTCTCTAGTTCCTGACCAAGGGAAAGTGACCTGCCCAGAAGTCTCTGCTAAGGATCTCTCCCTCTTATGCTTCTCTCCCCAAGGCTGCAGTAGGTTGGAAAGGGAGGTGGGGGTACTCAGGTATATAGAGCACTTGACCAGTGTGTGTTTAAAAGTTTAAGAAAAACCTCTTCTAAATGGAAGGGAGCACGGAGGAGTGACCAACAGGGGGATAAGAGAAGAACATACACATCTCATTTCTTCAATGGAAAGAATAATTCCTACCAGGAACAAACAGCTTTATAGGACACATGTTTAATCAAATGGAAAACAATGGGGGTGGGGAAGGCACACAAAGGAGTTCCTTGGCATGTGATGCAAGTCTGTACTTTCTAAATTACGATTCTGGCCCCACCATTTTCTAAAGATTGGCTTCTTGTTCCCCTCCCCCACACGCTCCCCCAAATGGAAGACACCCCATGGCCACTCCCCCAGCTCTAGCTGGCTGCATGCCAAGGCCAAGGTGTATTTCAAAGGCAGAGCCTGGCCTCTTCAGGGCAGAGCCTGGAGACCTCAGTCAGCGTGTCAGCCTGTGTCTCACATCAAAGGTGAGCCAGCTCCAAGATGCAACCACAAGTGATTTTTATGAAATGTGCTCTGCCCTCTGCATCGCCTTTGATCTTAGGAGGGATTTACACACGTTAATTAGGCCTCCCTACCACCCCTGTGAGGCAGCAATGCATTTGAGAGGCACCCAGGTAAACTGAGGTGCCACTTGACTAGGCCAGGGGCCACCCAGGGAGCTGAGCCACCCCCAAGGCCAGCTCCTACTCCAGGGCTTCCATTCCCAAACCTTCTTCCCTGGAGTTAGCCAGGCTGAGCCAGTCTCTGGTGTCTAGATTCCACCCACCAAAGACTCTGCAAAGATAACTCTCAAAGTCAGAATCTCATCTTCCACCGTCTCCTGCTCCCCAGAGCCCAGCCTGGCAGACAGCAGAGCTGGACCGTTCCTGGCATCTCCTCTACCACTGTACATTACCAAACACCTAATTAAGCCCTCGGTTCTGTGGAACAAAGACACACAGCCCCTTCTCCCAGCCGTTCCAAGAGAAGTGCAACCCAGAGCCTGGGGAACCTGTAAGGTTCTTTCCCACTTAGCTCTTCTGAGTTTCCCTGGTACTACTTTGTATGATGACTGACGGAAGCACCAACCGAATAAATGAATGAATGACCTAAGCATTCATTAAAGGGACTTGGGAAAAAAGTTAAGGGACCTAAATGAAGAGGGCCAGATGGCAGATCACGATGCCAGCCGTTCTGGTAGGCTTTGAAGGTTGTACCACGAGAGGCCATCCCTTCAGCCAGTCAGCAGATACAGAGCTAAGACAGGGCAAAGCCCATCCAGGCCCTCCCTCCATTCTACAGGTGAGGCGTGGGAACACAAACAGCAAATCTTTTCTTCCTTGAGGGATGGCAAAGCGCAGTACCTTCATGCCTTGCAAAAGCCACAAGTCACAGTCACACCTGCCCTGAGGTCCAGGCAAGACTCTTTGCACACAACTGTTTTGGGAAATACAGAACCAGGTGTAGACCTAGTGCAGGCCCTTCAAGAGGCTAGAGACATCACAGATTTCCAAGTTCAACCTCCAAAGGATTCCTCAGTTCAACTATACCAGGCCCCAGAACCTTTCCCTGTGCCTCATCTAAAGTAGGAGACCTCGCAAAAGGGATTCCCTCAGTTGTATCGGCTCATTAAGATTAACAGTTGTCCACTCTAAAACCCTATTTTCTGCTTCACCTATGTAATCCAACACCAAACTCCTCAACCTCAAGCTGGGAAAGAATATCTAAATCCCCAGGTCAACACTTTCCCACACACTAGGGGGTAGGGAGAAAAATGTAGAACTTGAGAAAGTCCCCTGCGTTTCTAGCTACAACACCCCTGCCTGGGTCACCACAACCAGCAATTGGCCCAAGACCAGTCCCCTGAGCCCAGCCCCCCTGTCCGGACCACTCTTCTCTCCACGGGGACTTTCCCGATCCTTTCTCCATGTTCTACATGGTGGTGCCTGAGTTTGGGTCCTTTTTCTTGCTTTGTTTGAAGCAAAACATTTGGGGTGAGTAACCAGCTGCTTGGGTTTCCGATCGGCAGGTTAATCACTTCCTATTGGCTGATCTGGGGGAAGGGCGCTCCCCTCCTTGGAAATGGCACATTCCTGTCTTTGTGGCTTCTCTGTTTACACACATTTTGCTACCTAATGTCAACACTTGCTAATGAATAAATATATCACTCTGCTCCCCGAAAATGAGGTCCTGGCCTGCCAGAATGACTGCTGAAATCTTGCGAACAGATTTATCCAGTATCTTTTTGGCAAATCCAAGAACACATGGTCTTTCTTTGCTATAGAGTTTGGACTTTAGGGAAACCTCTACCAGAGCTGTCTTCACATCTGGAGCCACCAGGGCTTCCCTGTCTAAGGTTAACAGGCCACATTTGAAAGATGAATGAGGAAGCACAAAGCCAAAAGAAAGAACTGAGGTGGACCCCGGGGAGAAGAGACCTCATGGAACAATCCTGGATTCTTTAAGCTGTAAACTCAAGACAAGTTATAGCCCTCAGAGCTTGCTAATGGCAGTTAAAGTTTGTTGCAAACACAGAGAGCTGGTTATCTTGTCATTAATGACCATTTATCTGGTGTTTGGTAAATCGAAAGCAAAATATCACAGACTCTGCAGGCCACCTATTAGACACCAGGCAAGCAGCAACGCCTTCCCAACTTGAGGGAACTGGTGCAGCATGTGGAGGGAGGGCTAGCTGGGGCTTTGCTTACACATTCATTAAGCATTTAATTTATGACAAAGTCCCAGAAAAATGGGGGGGGGGGGAACCTGTGCAACAGCCAAAACTCATGAGGCAAAAGGTTCCAAGAACTGAACGGTGCCCAGCCCTTCGATTTTCCCTCTCCTTGGCAAAGCAAAGACGTCACAAGTGTTGCTTTTTTTTTTTTTTTGTTTGGTAAGCACCGCAGAACAAGCACAAAAGACAAAGCTAAAACCTGGATTTGCAAGCAAACCATTCTGTAATTCTTCCCCTGTAAGAAGGAAGTGGGACTTGTCCCTGCAGCCATCCTCAATCTGTTTTGCTGACCCTGTCCCCTGGCACTGTCAGCTCTAAGGGACGGGCTCTAGGACTGCCAGCCAGAAGTTGAATGCAGACAACCACAACAGGGCTGGTGCCAGTCTCAAATGGGCTTCTGCCCTGGCCCTCTGCCATCCGGCCAGAAAGCAACAGGCAGGCAGAGCTGTACTGAAAACTTTTATGGTCTCTACCAAGAATTCTGAGAAAACCCCAGGAGAAAGCAGACTTGTGGGTGCCTCAGTAGGGGTAACATAATCCCCTCTAAACTTGCTGCACTTCTTAACCTAGTGTGGTACTCCAAACGGAAGCTTCTCTTCAGAATCGCTCCTCATCCATTTAACCATCCCTACCCACAGATCCTTCTGGCACTTACAAAGCTTCAGAATGTTTCCATCAACCTGTCCTATTTGGCTCCCAAGACATTCGGTGGATTAAAAGCCTCCATGTGTTAAAGCTGAACTAACTTCCGTCACACAGTTCAAATGCATGAAAAAAGGAACAAATTGTAAAACATATCTGGGGTGGGGTGAGGGGGGACGAGTATCTTTATGAGGGGAAAAAATCCAATCACAACAAGAGGAAAATCCAAACTTACAATAGAGGAAAATTTCCTTGAGTAGCCAAAGTACCACCCAGGCCCCAACCTAGACACAAAAACCAGGGTTCTAAGAAAGAAAAGACCATCTACTCACCAGTTGGTTTGAGAAAATCCATTGGGTATCTGGAGTAAGGAGGAGGGGGAGACTCTGAAATTAAAAAAGTAAAAGGGTATATAAAGGCTGAGCCATGAGAAAACAGAGATAGAAACTTATGATAACTCAGGCATTCTTTTAGCCCAACTGTTTGTCTTAGTTGTGGGGGTTGGAGGCAGGGCCGCGAGGCGGTGATTGCCTTGATATTTAGCTGTCAGATAAACAAAAGAGGCCGCCTGGCGCCAGCCTCGGCGCTCAGCTCCTCCACGTCTGCGGCCGCCGCCGCCGCGCTCGGCGGGCCGGGCTGGAAACCACCGGCTGGGCCGGGGCTCTAGCGGCTGGGCCACGCACTCAACAGTCCATAGGGTGGGGGGCGCCTGGGGCTGCTTAGTGTCCTACAACTACAGATCCCGCTTTCCCCGGCCCTGCCCGCCTCTAGGAGCACAAGTCACCTCCGCCCCCGCTGCTGAGCTTGGCACCCACGCACTCAACTAGGGAATCCTAGCCAGCCCACCTGAGAAAAAACACCCCTGGTTTTTCTGCTGGTGAACTTGGAAAACTTGCGGGGAGTAGGGTATGACCCTCTACCCTGAGCACAAAGACAAGGAGCAACAGAAGGCACAAAAAACGTAGCAGAATAACATGGGGAGGAACCTGCTCAGGGTCCCAGCCATGAAGCCCAGGCCAATTATGGAGCAGGGAGGGACATCACCGAAATGCAGGGGGTGGGAGTGTCGGACATGCTAAGGACCACTAACTGTATGCTTTTCTGTGCGAAATAAAGGTAAAAAGTGGAGGCCACCCAACTTCTCCAGGCTGTTTGTTCCTTCTCACCCTGAAGCTTGCACAGCTGAGAATGGACACCCATTTCAGTCTCCATCCTTGCACGGCCCCCAAACTCCAAAGCTGTGATCAAGACAGTATCTGGGCCACTCTTGCCCCACGTGACTGTCCTTATTTACTAAAGGAGAGACTTTCCAGCCTTTAAAGCTAGTTTCTCCCAGCCTTCCTTGGCGGGCTTGGGCCGAATCCAACTCGGCCACACACCTCAACGCCTTTCCGGGTGCGGGGGGAGCGTGATCCCCACTTCGCTCTGTATCCCCTTGCAGACCCGGAAATGAGAGTCATTTTCTGCACCATGTCTGTTGAGTATACGGATAAGCAGTAGTACTCCTAGGTCCTCTTCTCTGGAGGTTGGGGGTACAGTGCATTAGAGGAAATCTTGAAAGGGAACCCCAAGGAATGTCAGAGCTCCCCCTCGTCCCTTCTCTGATTTAGTTCCCTTGTCTCCTCCAGGAGGTTATACATACACCCTCGAGCATTCGTACCAGCATTTCCTCGCCAGAGGGAACGAAAGGTGGACTCAGAACAACTTCTTACCTAGTTCACAGAGTCGACTAAGGTGATGGGGGTTGCAGCACACCAGCTCGGGGTTGATCTTCCCGTAAGATTCACAGCAACACAGCCTCTTGACTTCCGAGGAATGCCTGAGATCCGGCCACCTGAACACTTTGCACAGCAGGAGGGGGAGCGAGTAGGACGAGGGCGACTGCGCGGGCTGCGCGCTGGCGGGCGCCCCCGGGCCCAGCCTGCAGTCCAGGCGGCCGGGCAGCAGGAGGCACGCGGTGCGCGTTCCGCCGCGGGACTCCACGGCCTGAAGCAGCAGCTCCAGCTGCCGCTCCTTGAGTTTCTTAAGCACCGAGTGCGTGAGCGCCTTCAGATCTGCCTCGGCGCCCCCGGCCGCCCCGGCACCCGAGGTTGGGGGATGGGGATGGTGGTGACCTTTGGCACCTCGGACTGCCTTGCCCAGGCAGCAGCCTGCCCTGCCCGCACCGCTGCCACCAGCCCCATAAGCCCGGCCGTCCGTCGCCCCTTCTCCCCGCAGCTCGCCTCCTCCGCCGCCACCCCCCACGCCCTCCTCCTCGTCCTCGCCGCCGGGCGCACGGCTCCTCCAGAGACGCCGGACGAGCGCAGATCGTTTGGTCCTGAACATGCGGGGCGAGGAGGCGAGGAGAAAAGTCGTTTGCCGGCTAAGGAGCGAACATGACCTCCGCACACCATGAAGAAGTCGGGCGCCGAGTTGGGGCAGCAGGCGCAGGCGACAGCAGCAACAGCAGGGGCCCGGGCAGAAGCGGCGGCGGCCCGAGGGGCGCTCCGTGGCATGCGCCAGTCTCCCGGAGGCCGGAACGCGCGCGGGGGCCCAGGGGCGCCCGCCGGGGTTCGGGGGCCTGCGCTTCGGCTGCCCCACCCGGCGCGGCCCGCGCCCTGCGCGGCTCTCGGGCCCCGGCGTGCCCCGGAGGAACGCGGCCGCCGCTTCCCTGGGGGCGGCCGAGGCAGCCCTGGTCGACGCCTCCCCCAAAAAAGGGCCCCCTACAGTGGCTCCCGAGTGTCGGGCTCGCCAGCCTCGGCTTCCTACATGGAAGATCCTCGGGGGCAAAAAGAAAAAAAAAAAGCCGAAAGACGTTAGACTGAGCTACTGAAGGGAGGAAAAAGCCTCTTTCCCCCTTGCTAAGCAACTTAATTTGGGGGTGGGGAGAAGCAGGCAATTAAAAAAAAGGCAGGCACACGATTTATTTTTTCTTCTATATCCTTAGTAACCGGATCTCCTCGAATTCTGTGCACGCGAAGACTTGAGGGAGGGGGCTGAGTAGACTTCACCCCTCGTGAGATGTCTGGAGGGTCTCTCAAAAACCCCAAAACCAAATATGCAAAGCCCCCAATGGAAAAAATAAAACACCACCTTCTCGCACCTCAGAGGTCTGAAGGGCACCGGATGGAGTCCGGGTTTAAAAAGAGAAAATGTTTACAAAGTAGAACAAGATGTTGGAAGGGTGGAGAAAAAAAAACCGTATCCACGAGTTACATCCCCCTTTTTTTCCTTGCTGAACCCCGCCGGTCTTCCTTTCCTTTTCTTCTGCCAAAAAAAAAAAAAATCGTATTTCTTTTAATCCACAGAAAGGTCTGGCTAGGCTGCTTCAATCTTGCGTATCTGGGTGTTTTAGAGTCTCTGGTCTTTCCTCCTGCGCTCCCGGCGGCCCAGGTCCTCGGTGGGGACTTCCTCCGCGCTGGGGAAGCAGGGACAGAAGATGCTGCGGCGGCGGCGGCTGCGCCCCGGGGGGCTGTCAGCGCGGGGGAGGGCGGCGCGGCGGCCGGCTCCGGCGGGTCGCAAGCTCTCGCCCCCGAGGGCACAGGCGGCAGGCTAGCTAGTGTGGGGGCCGCCGGTGCCCCTTCTCCTGGCCGCGGGTGGCCTCCGGGGCTGCTCGCATGAGCTGCTGGCCCCGACCCGACAGTGGCGGCAGGAGGCCCGGGTGTCCTTTCGCAGCCTCTTCCTCCGAGACTCTCTTCGTCGCGCCCGGGAGCCTCCTCGTCCGCCGTCCGCCCTCTCCTGGCGCTCGAGTCCTTCTGCCGCCGCTGGGGGCTCGCCGCGCCGCACTCAGGGACTCCGGGGCCGAGCGCTCGGCGGCGTGGCGCCGGCTGGCTGGCTGCGTCTCAGGCAGCTCTCTCCGGCGCGGCGAGCGGACCGAGCGAGGCGCCCGGCTGGCTCTGCTGGCGCAGCTCGGGGACAAGATCCTCTGTACGCCGATCAGCGAGCGAATGTGCCCAGGGCTCGCCGCCTCCCGCAAGGCCTCCCGCCTCCGCCCCCTTCCCTCCCCCCTCTACCCCTCCCTCTCCCGCCCCCAGCCGCCGCCGCCTCCTTCCCGCCCCCCCACCCGTCCCTCCGCTCGGCTGGTTCCACTGCGCAGTGGCGCGCCCGGCTCCGGCCTCGTCACGTGGCCGTCTAGACACCCTGTCGCTTTAAAAAAAAAAAAAAGCGATTGTGTTTCGCAAACAACAGATCGGGTTTCTAAAAGCTATTTCAACCCCCCTCCCAGTTACCGCCACCCTCACCCAGGTCTACAGAGGGGTACCCACGGCGGAGGGAGGTGGGAGGCTGAGGCGGCCCCGGGGGTCGGCGGAGACCAAGCGGGAGCAGGGGGAAGTCGGAAGAGCTGGGGGCATGGAGCGGGCGAGTTTGGAGCGGAATGAGCCGGTCAGTGGCCCGATTTATACCAGCGTAGCTCGCCCGGGCGCTTCATTCATTCGTTTTGTTTTAAGGCCCTGGCGGCGGATCCCTTGGAAAGCGGAAGAGATCGCTGTCTGTTTCAAAGACATTTACACCGGCCAGGACAGAGGCCCTGGGAAGTGTGCGCTAGAGGGAACAGCCGGGCGACCGAGGGCGGAGAGGCGGCGCGAATGTGACCTCAGCGGCCGCCGCGCTCCCTCCCGCCCTCTCCCGCTCCGGGCTCGGGTTTCTAGGACTGCCTGGAGAAGTGTGTCTTGTGCACAGCTCTGGAATGCATTTGGCAGGCTGACGAGCAACGAGGGGCAGCATCCTGGAGGGAGGAGGGGTGCAGCTCGCCTGCGCGCCGCCGGCAGGTTTCCTCCCGGCCTGGAAGACCTCCGCCACCCGGCCTCCCGGCGCGCGAACGTTATCCAGCAAGCAGACCTGCTTAAAGCATTCAACCGCATGAGGGGCTTGCTTAGGGTCAGAGAGTTTATCCCTTGACCTCAGGTTCCAGAGAAGGCCAGCCACAGATGCAGGTGACTGCTTGAACGTAGAAAAGGTATTTGTCAAGCAAAAGTCCCGGGTGCTGGTCAGACGATAGCACTAGAGTGTTAAATGTTACTGAGACAACTAGTTGGCATGGTGATCCAACCTCACGTATTTACTGGGTTTTTGAAAAGTCTCTTGAAATTGTAACACTAGGACAGTAATGAAACTCATGGGGGTGGGGTAAGGAATTTTTACAAAATGTGGACTGTAATATTTAATTCTCCCCACCGGAATTACATCTTCTGGAAAAGATAAATTGTAAATACCCTTTCTTTCCAGTAACTTTTGTTTCTAACCTGATAGATACTTGATACATATTTAGAGGGCTGCAAGTATAATTCATTAGAGGCCCTGGGTTCAGTTACTTAGCAACACAAAGTAGGAATCAACACTTTGAATTAGGTTTTTGGACCATTCCCCTACCACACTAAAATCATATGAATAAAAAAACCAACAAATTCTGTTACATGATCCTCTCCCAGCTAGGGACCCTAAGTTGTGGGAGAAAGACAACATGCCAACAGTATAGGACCATCAACAGGACCAGACCGATAGTGGCACAGGGGCAGTTACTGGATAGCATAGTAATTTTGCTAAAAATTAAAATACTCCTTATTGGAATTGTGTGTGAACACTCTAAAGCAACCTGAGATGAAGACAGCAGTCAAGAAGACCAGAGAAGACATGGAGGAGAGATGACTCCACTGCCACAGGCAGGGAATGTCCAATGACACAGAAATGCAGTCTAGGAAATGTGTCATTTTAGAAAGGAATAGGAAGGAGCTGGAGAGGTGGCTCAGACGTTAAGAGCTGTGGCTGCTCTTTCATGGGACCTGAATTTGCCTCCTAACTCCTACTTCAGGTACTTCATAACTGCATGCAACTCAAGTTCCTGGAGATTCTGACACCCTCTTCTGGTCTCCTTGACACTACATTCTCTCTCTCTCTCTCTCTCTCTCTCTCTCTCTCTCTCTCTCTCTCTCTCAGACACACACACACACAAATTAATCTTAGAAAGGCATAGGAAGCCTTTTTTAATAAGTTATTTCATGAAGTTCTTCGGCTCACTGGGTAGACAGCTTGTACTAACAGTGGTCCTCAGATTAGATGCTACCTTCAGAGGCTTTCTAGAGAAGGGTCATGTTCTTGCAGGGTCTCATTTTCGGTAGACAAGAGAGGCTCTAAACCACGCTACAGGTGACAGGAAGAATTAAATAAACAGAAAGCAAATGTCACCCTTCTAATTACGCTTTGTGGCTACGTGGACAATCTGGAGAAGTCTGGAAACGTGAGTGGTGCTAATCCCCTTTGTAATGAAAGGCCTGGGTACACATGAAGCAAGTAGGTGTAATGGGTATTTCAGGAGCTTGTATCTGATGTCACAGCATGTCTGGATGGAACGTGCATCTACTTGCAGAGCTATGTTCCCATCTAGTGTAATTGTGGGTGTTTTAATTCAGGCGTCACCTCTATTTTGCCCTCTCTCCACGGCTTTCCTCCTCCATTTTACTACTTGAGGGAGAAGTGGGTGGGATGCTGGGCAGGTAGCTGCAGTGGCCAGTGCTTTATGGTTCCCTGGCATCCCCTGAATCTGTTAACATCCCAACCTTCTTGACAGCCAGCCCCACCCCATCACATTCTTACTCCTTCCCTTTCCAAGAAAGAAGCCAGAAGCCCGAAGCCAGCAGTAGAACTCTGCCTGGCTGGTATGCCTAGAAAGGGAGGGCTCTTCTTTCAGCTCACCGACACAAATGGGACCCATAAGCACCGATTTCAGACTGTTCTGATCCTTTCAAAAAGAAAGTTAGGAGTCCAGACTATTGTGAATGAATTTGATTCTAATCATTTTCTGGCAGAGAATATGGAATGAAATATCTCATTTGCAGTTGTTTATTTCCTGTTGTGGCTTCTATTTTCATCTTTCAGTCACTTTGGTGATAGTAATCAAACCCTAATCATGGTACAGCCGCAAGTCACAGAGACCAAAATAGCAGACTTATGACAGACAGACAAGGATGGAGATGGCTAAGGACCTGGCTATTAATCACCAGTCCCTTTGCTCACAGTCCATTGGCTAGGTGTCTGGAGAAGAGCTGAAACAGAGAGATATCAGCCTGTGCCTGAGGGCTCTGAGCAGCCAAGGTCCCTAGGTCCCAGAGCAGCAAAGTGAGCAGGAAGTGGCCTCAACAAAGGTAAGTTCTCTGCACATGTCAAGGAGAGGTGGTTCACAAAGGGCCTGGTTTGAGCCAAATCAAGGCTGAGAAGAGTCTACCGAAACTCTTAACGGCTCAAAATGACTGCAAGCAAAAGCAGAAAAACTCCCTAGGAGGACAAGATTCAGCCTATTGGTTCCTTTCTCCCCCCCTTTTTTTTTTTTTAAGAGGTTCCAAGATGGAAGAGTAGCATCTCCCAGTGCCTCAGGGGGTGGGGTCAGGGTGAGGCAGGGACAATTTTTCTTGCAAAAGCCAAAAGGAGAAACAATTGGAAAATATCAACATTTCTTGCACAATCGCCCCCCTAAAGAATGCGTGAGTGAGCC